AAAAGCATTACCACCCGAGTTAAAATCTCATAGCATTAAAGTCGTGAACTAATACAACAGACTTAAATTGGACTCATTCTTTAAAAAAAAGTGTCGACCAGCTGTTTTAATCAAACGAACCAACTGCTTAAATATTCTAAAGCATTCCTAAACAGCTAGTCAATTGTGTAACTTCCACATTCCATTCATTCAATTTCCCTTGTTTATATGATTAAGGATGGACAGCGTGACAGCTAGGTATTTGCACATCAACAGGATAGGCTGTTTAAGACAGTCAGCTCAACGTTATACTGGTATCCTGACTTCTGTGGTATGTGAAGAACAGTTAACTTCTGACTGGTGCGCGGCCACCTAGACCCGCCCTCATCAAAAATTAAATTATCTTTTGCCAAAGTGCTTGTAATTTTATTTACCACACATCAAAGTTAGACGGTATGGCTTTCTTTGATTTGTTATTTGTATGCATTGCGTGCATCAGAAAAACAATACTCCGATCGTCATTTTTTACTTTGCTATATAGAGGCCTTTCAAGGATCGTGAAAGTCCGCGCTATCACGTCCGCTTCGTGCGTAACCTCATTTGCCTATGAAAAACTGCGATGTTTGAATTAGTGTTTTTCCCCATCTCTTTTTGTTTTTCCATTCTTTGCTACTTCAAGTGCCACAAACAGAAGAGTGAGGTAAGGAGTCCCTATCTAACCGTTAATAATTTATTTGAGCGTTTCAACCCCAATTAGACAGCAACTTGATAATTGTTTGAGATAAATAGCCACTAGCCCCGTCCCTAGCATGCATCACTGTAGAAGTTATTTGCATGAACTTAGATATATGTTCACGTAAATATCGTCAATGAAATTGAAAAGCAAATGGGACTGATCCGAAACTCAAATGAATATCCAAGGAAGATGAGTCAATGAAAAAACATGCGAGTGATTGGAAAGCAAACAAATTCTCAATCAAATTTCATCGAAAATTTTCCAACAGTGTTGAAAACTTAACAGCTTGTGAGCTGCATCATTCAGGAAAGAAAAACGCTTCACATCAATGAGAAATAATTATTTTGACTCTCCTCGTTCTACGCTTCTCTTGCCTGGTGAAAGAAAGCTTGAAAAACAAAAGGTATTTCAACACTCGTTCTTTTAAGAAACGCAATTATAGTTTAATTCAAGACTAAACGGCTTACGGCTCATAGACATCCGAGCCCGCGC